GTTATCTGATTATTCAAATAGTCATGTAAACAGCACACATTGATTTCTTAGATTAGAGTAGGTTCTAGAAATCTGATAAAGAGAGCTGGAGTTTAGCTCAGTAATCAGGTTTCTCAGTGCATGTGAACTCTTACTCTGATTTCTTTCACATTTCTTAGTCTGTACATGTGCGAAACAGACCATGGTACTGGAAATAAGTGAGCAGCGTCGCCTTGACACGCAGTAAAACACTTGGTGCAACGCTGAAACCAAGTACATGCTTGACAAAACGGATTTAATTATTCTTCATCTTCATAACGCATGTTTATATTTTCAGGTAAAGAGGCGCAATGTTCTTAAAAAAAAAGCTACGGCATGAAGTTTGAGTTTTACATTACGTTTGTCACGTCTTCTTCTGTGAGTTTATTGGTTGGTTGCAAAGCAGAAATCCGATTACTGTCTGACTCATGTAGACCTGGAGTTTCCCCATTATCTGATTACTCAAATGCACGTAAACGTCTTCTGCAGTTATCGGATTATTACGTGTACGTAAACGCACTCACTGAAAGACTCCAACTACTGGCACTGCCTGTCCGCAAAAAAATAAATAAATAAAAAACAAAAAACTAGCATCAGACCTTGGGGGGTGGGTGGGGGAGGTTACAAGGCAGCTGGATTGACTGGTTAACAAATGAACTGGCTCATTAAAGGAGAATTCCACTGATTTTCTGCATAATTTGTTGATATCTAAGTCATTCATGGAGGTTTTATTTGAAATTGTTAATTGTATTGATTAAATAAATGCAATTTTTTTGATCATTGCAATTATCGTTATTTACCTTTGCATTTACAGCTTTCGTCTACAAAGAGAAGGAAAATACTGGTCTTAGTGGAATATAAACCCAGAAATTTCCTCATTTATTACAGGAAACTTCCTTATTCTTATTCTTAAACTCCACACTTTTCTACATAATTCAGTGGCTGAGATGTAAAGTCAGAATGGTTTGGCGTGAAAATGGTTCATCGTAGAGAAACTTGTCACCTCAGATTTAATAAATTCAATAGATTCAATAAACTCACAGAATAAGTCGTCGCATAAACGTAATGTAGAACTCAAACTTCATGCTGCTGCTTTTTTTTATACCCTTCATTTCGTTAAGCATGTTTTTGGTTTCAGCGTCGCTCCAAGTGTTTCTTGTCGTTTTGCGGGTGCTGTGTTAAACGCTCCTGCTTATTTCTGGTACCACGGTTTGTTTACGGACATACGCAGACTGAGAAATCTGAAAGAAATCAGAGTAAGAGTTTACATGCGCAGAGAAATCTGAAAACTGAGTTTAAATCCAGCCTCTTTAGCAGATTTTCTAATCGGATTTCTAGACCTTTGTCTAGTGTGCGGTCTACCTGACCATTTGAATAATCAGATAACTGCCGATATCTGCTTATGATCAGATTATTAAGTACATGTAAATGCATTCAACATTTCAGACACCAGTGAATTCATAAGCATTTCACGTAATAACTTTCTGTGAGGGAGCTTTTAGAGGTGGACGTCTGGTTCCTATCACCACCACTGTGAATAATTCTGACTAAGTTTCTCTAGAACAGAGCGTTTCACACCAAACCACTCTGAATGACTTTGTTCACCTATTACTCACTTAATTATGCAGAAATTTTGGAAAAAGGGTGGAATTCCCCTTTACTAAAGGTACTGAGGGCCCCAGCCCAGTGACAGCACCCTTTTTTCTGAGGTTTCTCTGGTTCGTATCACCACCACAGTAAACAATTCTGACTCTGTATGTTTTTCTAGAACAGAGCGTTTCACACCAAACCACTCTGAAAGGCTCTGTTTACATCTTAACCATGTAATAAAGCAAAAATATTGAAAGATCATTGGATGTCCCTGTCAAATTAGTCTACTTGCCTTTGTTCTTCTGAAACCGATGAATGGTTTGGCAAAAAACTCCCACAATGCTTCACTTATCCCTAATGTAGTCAATCAGCATAGATGCATTTGTTGTCTTTAGTTTGCTTTTTAAGTTTTGCACTGGAGCTTTGAGGCTAATGGAGCTAACAAGTGAAGTCTGTCAACATTTTTTGGGTGACAGAGTTGTATTACTTGTTAGCTACATTAGCCTCATAGCTCCAGTGCAAAGCCAAAGAAGCAATCTTCAGACAACAAATACATCCTGGCTGATCAACTTGGTGTAAATTAATTGTTGAACTATTTCTTTAAAATCAGCCCAAACTTGCTTGAAAACCCCCCAAAAAAGGCTAATTTCCCACAAGAGTTCTCATTACGGCCCTCTGCTCTGGAACCGGACACTTTTACATAACGTAAGAAATAAAATTACAAAACACAAAGAGGTTAAATAGAGCATTTTTAAAGAATATCTGCCAAACGTTTAAATTTTATTTATATCATTTTCATTGTTACATCTTTACAGTGAAACAGTAATTAAGACTTAGACTAATCGTGTTACTTACAAACTCTAAAAAGAGAATGGTCATTGGAGACACAAAGGGCAAGAAAGGAACATTACATCTTTTAATCACTGATGTTCTAGATGTAAAAAAAAGGAGTAAAATACATTGTGTATACAGTACAATCAAAACATTAAGTTATATTAAAGCACCATGTTTTAGAGCATATTGAAATAAATATAAATATCATATTGGCCTTTTTGTACACTGAGGAAATGCTGGACACGACACCACAAACATCAGTTTAAATGTCCACTGCTCTCTGAAATCTGCAACTTGTTTTAAAAGTAGAGATAAACTCACAAATATGCCTTCCAGTCGCTAACATATAGGAGTTAAAATGCCATATACAGCATGCAATGTAGGTAGAAAAGTAGTGTCAGGCTTTGTGCCACAGCACCCTATAGAGCTACAGCACGTTTCTGTCCTGATCCTAACAGCCTAAGGCTAACAGTAAGGTTAAAAACAGCCTGAACCCAGATCACTGTTTGAGAACGCTCATACAGACATCTCGCCTTAGGACCATATGAGCTGTAAACTCGGATGACGCTTCCTCGAATAAAAAAAAAAATCACTCCATGTCAATGTACCATTACTATCGTGAATAGGAGTTAGACATTAATAGATATCCAGCATAAACGCTGTAGAAAGACTACAGTACTACAAAGACTAAAGGCTGTAACGTCCTGGTCGTACGTGCTCTCCAACACACAGTGAGGGGCTGAACAAGTGAACAGTTATATGTGCATGCATTCGACAGGGAATTAGTATTCACTTCAGAAAGAAAGGAAAGAAAAGAGAAAAGCAAATTAAAAATTAAACATAATTAGCCTCTGTGCTTAAAACTTCATGGCCTGGTGGCTTCTCCAGACACATAGACTCAGGGTGTTTTCACATGAGAAGCTGCTGCAAGCATTTGCTAACCTTCACTGAATACATCTGAATTTCATAATAATCTAAATAACCTTTCGCAGGGCGCAGTTAGCTAGACACACATTCCAAAACAGGCTAGTTCATTTCGAGCGAAGTTCAACACCCACTCCGATTTCAAGGTAACAGGATTTTTACTTTTTACCGCCCATTTCAAAACTGGTTTTAACATGTCCTTGTCCACTTGCCCCTGAATTCCAGACGCCATCTCAAGGGCTGTTTCATTACTGTATTAGCTTTTGGGGACCTGGAGACCCCTCTGGTTAATTACACATCTGTGTAATTGCATGCAACTTGCAAACAAATATTTTGTTACATGGGTTGTGCTTCATTCCCCTTCCCCGAATGGATGAATCTGGCAATTGCAAGTATGTTTACAGAGTATTCAAAGAGAATGCGGGCAAAACTTGGTAAAGGACGTGAAGTGAATCATCACAACTTTCCCCCATATAATGTATTACTGCCATCATATCTTTATCAGTATAATGTTGAGTTTGCATTAGAGACCTAAACATCGAGCCAGACCTTCTTTTTGTGCCTGTATAATCTGTCTAATATGCAAAAAAATGAAAAAAAGTCCTTTTAATTACTGGTTCAGGCTTTACAGGGCGAACCACAGAAGTGCGAGGGTGCCATATTCCAGTTTTTTTGAAAGGCAACTTTCAGAAATTCTAAACAAAAAAAATTTACAAAACATGGAATTTTTCGGGGTTTAGTTTGAAAAATACTCCATCTGTTAAACAAGACTGCTGATATGACTGTCACTTTCCTCTGCTAGCTTGCTAGTTAGCAAGCTAAAAGCTACACAGCTAACACCAAAAAAAAAGGCAATTCACCTTACAGCCAGACAAAGCAGTTGTACAGTGCATTAAAACTCCCCACCCCCAGCCGATACGAAGGCTGATTCCAACCTAGCCGAGCACAATCAAAATGTCTGCCCCTCGCAGTCGCCTTCACACCTTATAAGGAGCCACTTGTGTAATGCCGGGGCGACGCATATCTAAGAGGTTAAAAACAGCATTGAAATGGGACGTTAGAGTGTTTGAGTCTTAAAAAAATGATAAACCAGATATGTGAAAGTAGTGATCAGGCCAAGGCCTAATCTGTGTTTAAAAAAAACAGCCTTATGTAGTCCCTGGCTGCAGCTGATGGAGTTGCCCTGTGTGTCAGACCAATATCTTTTCAGAAGAACCAGCCTGGAATACAGGCTGACTAATGTACTCACTCTTCACGTGCTGCACACTCATTTGTGCATTATTGACGTCTCAGTTTCATTTGCCACAGTAGGGCTGACAGGGAAAAGAAAACGAAAAAAAACAAAAACAAAAAAAACACAAGTATCTCCTACCTTGGTCCATGAACAGACCCAATTCAACATGCCATACATGCTTAAGCTCTACATCCTTGTGAACAAACGATTCATTGAAACAGATGAGCATATGGAGTGCAGAAAGGAGATCCACAAGACAGAATAACATCCCCATCATGTGGCTGATCTGATCTACTATTATGAGAACTGCAATGGTTTACATAAACCTACCACACAATCAATTATGGGTGCCAATGAAATAATCATTTTAAATATTTTACATGAAATACAAAAGCTTATCAGAAATGCTAAGCACAATGCATTTAAAAGTACTTTTATATATTTTAGATTATAAAGAGAGAGAGAGGGAGAGAGAGAGAGAAAGACAGGGAGAGAGAGAACATATTGTCATTAATTCATAAATATCAGTTTAGGAACCAAACTCATCATAAAAGTGTCTTCATTTAATCTGTGTACTGCAGATCCAGGTCCACTGTACCGTCAGTTACCACTAGCCTCAGTCTCTTGGGCTTGCGGTCCGTCAGAGAGGTGCTTTGCGAGTGAGACGACGGGAAGTGATGGGAAATAACCGAATGGCACCCAGGCTGCCCGTGCTGCTGAGAATCCTTGCCTGGCTGCTCCGCCAGGCCTTTAGATCCTGCAAAGCTAGCCATAGAAGGAGAATGTGAAATGTTCGAGGGGCCGCACGGTTCTAAAATGAGCCGGCCCTGGGTTCCGGAAGGCTCCATGAGGCAATGGTAAGTGTAATTCGTGGGCACTGATGAAGAGTAATTCAAGCACTCCCCGTCGTCATTGTAGTTCAGGGTAACAGAGTGATCGCCGGTGAAGTTTACGACGTAGGACGGGTGAGCCGACTGATTGCACACAAAGGAGGATGGCTGAGCTTTGGTCACCGGGACATCCTGGGTGGCAGAATCCCTGTAGCCCACCTGTGGACTGCCATGCTGTGAAACACCAGGGGAGAGTGAAGAGCTGAAATTCATGTCTAAGGGATCACAGTGTGAGAAGCACAGCTGACTTCTGTCAAGGGGAAGAGGGAGTTGGGAGTTCTGGCTGGGGGCTACCACAGCATGAGGCTTATCCTGCCTCATATTTTTACCGTGGGCTATGTTGTGACTTTGAGGACTCGGACTAGAAGAAAAAAATGCAGCAGGAACGGTGGGATTGTTGTCAACCCTAAGGTTTTGTGGCTTTCCAACAGGTGTGGTTTTCACAGCACTTGTAGTTTTGCTGGAGCTTTTGCAAATATTTTGGCCATGTCCTCCTTCCGTTTTCACCAAACTGTTAGGGTTCTGGAAAAGCACAGGCTTCTTTTCGTAGCCACGGAGGAGAGCACTGCCAAGGTTGAGAGGCCCTGGAAACTCTGAGCATGAGGCTTTGCTTCCTGTATGAAGGGAGTGGAAGGGTTTAACAGGGTTACCCTGTGATCCAGCATTGTACAGGCTTTGCACGTACTGGCCCAAAAAAAGAGGCTGCGATTTATTAGCAGAGCTAAGGAAGTGGTGGGGCCCATTAGTTTTGTCCTTTGTTTGGATTTTGCCAAAGTCTGACTGTGCTGACAGATTCCTTGAGCTATCAAGAAGAAACTTATCCTGAGACTGTGGGCGACAGGGGAGTGGTACCGTCTGCTTTGTGTTTGAGGACGCACCAAACATGATCAGGTCCCTTTGGTTGCCTGACATTTTATCGGTCAAGCAGAGTGGCGTTGCAGAATCTTCCTTGGTCTGGAGAATCACATTACGTTTTGACAGCATAACATCAGAATAGAACTGACTTCTTTCAAGATCTTTCACTGGTACTGAACTCATTGGTGGACAAAATGTCTTTTCTTTGGAAGAGAAGTAGGGTCCACTGTTCAACGATGGTGCTTCGTCTCGTGTAAGGCCAAGATCAGGGAAACTCAGATCTTCCGCAGTACTAAAGCTACTCCCTGGGCTTGAGGAGCCGAGGTAAGGGGTTTCAGGATTCCATCCATCGGTTGTTGGACTTTGAGAAAAGGGGCTACTAAAGGATCCGGTGTTATGCGGTTCACCAGGGCAGTAATCTGTTAACGCATTTTGTGCTTGTGTTTGATCATAGCCTTCAAGATTCAAGCACTGAAAGTCTAAAATGTCCTCTGAATAGTTTGAAAAGGTGCATTCCGTGGTGAATGGTGACGTGGGAGGGGACAAGGGCTTGGACTGAACTTGACAGGAGGTAGTTCCACTTGTGTAAGCAGGTATGCTTTTTTCTGATGGTGGGTGCTGGCTCATGGCTTGAAGTTTAGAGAGGCTTTTATTTATCTGTAATAAGTTGTGACTCAAGCAAACCTCGCTCCTGTCTTTACCCTCGGTCCTAATAACGCCCCCTGTCCTAAGCTTCTCTGCCCTTTCAGTATTTTCTGGTGCACTTGTTTCTTGACCTCTCCCTTTAAAATCAAAGCTGCTACTGAGACGGGCTGCTTCCGTCAGTCCTTCGGTATATGGAGAGTTCAGAGACAAAGGTGAAAGAGATAATGATAGAGGTAAAGGCTCTGAATTTAGTGCACCTTTAGAGAACTCCCGAAACCTGTCATAATTGCTAGCTACTGCCCGGTGTTGGCAAGGAGACAGACTTTCCTCTTTTATTTTATTGACGGGCATCTCTCCCAGTTTAGCCCTCTCAGGAGGGATGCATGGCAGCAATCTTGGCTCCCTAAGCACAGACGTTCCTGGTCCCTTGTTTCCATCTTGTTTCTGAGCTTCGCCGCCCTCCACCTCCCATCTGCCCTCGCCCCTGCGGCGCAGCTTAATCAGAGGCAGCGGTTTGATGTCAGTAACGTCTGACTCCTTTTTGAGATTTTTCAAAAGCAGATTCTGTCGCTCATGCCCCCCACAAACCTCACTTCTACCCTGAACAGAATTTTGCTGCCCACCAGTATGCTTTTCACTGTTGATGCTAGACAACAGTAGCTGTTTTTTACGTCTTTTCCTCGGCTTGACCGTGCTCTCTTTTCGGCAGTGTTCCAAGACGTCTTGCACAGCTTTAGTGGCTTGCTCTAATCCTACACTCTTGTCTGCTTCTCCATGACCCCGAATTCTCTCCATTTCCAAATTTAAAATCGCAACAGAATCCAAAATGGCCTTAAAGGGGTCGATCTCATCTGCACATTGTTCTGGGCCTCTTGTTTCAACTGCACTATCCCCCTTGGGTCCACTCTCCATTTCCCATTCCGTTCCCCTCTTTCTCTTCAAACGTATTTTTAAGTTACAGCTCTGCTCATCCTCTGTGTTAACAGATTCTGCAGCAGATTCATTATTAGCGTCTGCATTTTCCACTGTCCTGTGCTCAACCTGTACTGGTATTTGCTGCGCCACTTTTTGGCTGCCATCTTGTCCCTCTTTTATTCCCTCAGGCATCTCTTGCACTACATCGCACTCTAATATGCTTCCCAACTTAGATGTAACTTTAGATGTCTTTTTCCTAAGTCCCAGTCTCTTCTCTAACAGCAGGTTACCTGTTCTACCTCTGTCTCTGAGTATTCTGGTATGGTCTTGTGCTAGTCTAGCCTGAGCAGTTCGGCTTTTTCTGGAGTGTAGCTTCTTTAGCGCTAAAGTTTTAGACGGCCTGGCTGAAGTGCGCATTTTTGATCCTACAGTCTCAGAGTCTAAAGGTAATATCTGACCTTCATTATCAACACTGTTGTTCCCTTCAGACATAGGTAACAGACTGTCCATCGTGGTCTCCACACGTTTACTGGCACACAGGGGCTCCACTGTAGTTACGGTTGTATCCTGGTCGGGATCATTTTCAAGAGACTCTCGAAATGCCCGTTTCTTCAGAGGGATGCTGCTCTGGGAATTGTGGTCCAGACTACCCTTAACAGGAGAGACTGGCTCCAGGGAAAGTGGAGTAAGTTCTGACCCTTTCTTTTTGGTCATTTGTGCTCCTCCTTGGTCATGCGGGGTCTGTACGCTACTCTGGGCAACTTTCTGAGTGACTGTCTCGCTGTTCTTCTTCACTGAATCACTGCTAATATTCAGGTTCTTCCGCTCATTATCAGCAGTAAGGGTCCTCAATCTTTTGACATATTCACTGTCTTCTTTGTTCTGAGTTCGCCGGGAGACATTCCTGAGTACACTGCTGTACCCTTTGCCATCCTGTTCATGGCTGATCATCTCGCTGCCAAAGCTCTTGAAAATATCGGACAAGAAGACTCTTGCCTCCTTTATCGCAACGGTTTTGCTCCCAAAATGTAACAAAAAGTCTGTCTTCTTTTGTAAAATCTCTTCTCTTTGGCCCGTTTCCGCTCCCTGCCTTTCAACTCCACTCTCTCCCTTATCTTCCTCTTCAGCTGTGCCTTTCACGCTCTTTGTATGACCTTTCGTGGCACGCCCTCTTTTCTTAACACCAGTCACTAATTCATCAGCCTCTTTCAAAGCTTTCTCAATGCCAGCATTAGCAGAACTAACCGTAGCCTTTTTATCATTATTGTCTTTCTTTCCCTCAATTTCCTGCCCGTCATTATTGCCTTTGTTACCCACTTGTATATCCTGCACTTCTTTTTCAGCATGTTGCGGTGTAACAGCATTACTACTACCTGATAAATCACATGTCACTTTCAACCTGTCTGCACTTCCCATGACTACTGGTGTGAAATACATTTCCCTTACCCCTTTCTTACCTTCAGCTTTAGCCATACCTTTACTTCCTTTGCACTTTGATTTCTGCGGCCCTGTAGCTGCTGTTGTAGCATCTGTGCTATCTTCACTGTCTGCTTGTCCCTGATCTGCCTTACCAGCTGCTGGCTCTCCTGGGACAGCCACTCTGACTAGACTGACTTTTACATAACGCATCACCCCTGAAGTGAGAGACGCAGGAGAGTGACTGAAGGAAGGGGGCAATGAAGAGGTAACATCGAGGGTGCCAGAAGCAACAGAAGGTCTATGTTTTTCTTCTTTCTCCCCTGAGGTCTCTGAAGCAATCGGGGAACTGAAATCCCCTTCCTTAGCAGCGCTAGAGCTGGTGATGTGTTTCTCGCTGTCAGCCATCTCCTTGTGACAATCCCCTAAGCCACGCTGTTCCTCCTTTGCAATCATCCGCGAGACCCTGGATTGTAACGTCTTGCCTTTATTATTTTTACTTTTACTAGTGTATCCTCTGTTGAAAAGTGGCTTTTCACCTCTAATTGAAAGGCATTTGAGGCCTTTTCTGACCCCATGGCTACGTCCCTTTTGACGTGGATGACCTCTGCTGCTCGTATGGAGCTTCGACGTCTGTCTGATAATCCTGACTCTGTTTTTATTTAAGGTAGAGAGTTTAGATCGGTCAAAGGCTCGGACGCCTCTCAGGCGGCCGCGAAGCATGTTCCTGGTCCTTGAAGAAATAGCCATCTGATGAACAACTCGAACTGCTGAAGCACCAACGCTCCGTCCCTTAACTTTCGGATAGCCTTTATCACAGGCACTCGAAACTGATTTTAAACTGAAGGGCTTTAAGTTCAAATCAGCAGCAGTCTCGTTACCCAATAAGTCATTAGAATTGTCGTGTCCTTCCTCACCTCCCTTTAGTTCAACATCAGTGAAAGCTGGAGGGTCCAGTCTGTTGTTGTCTCTCCACTCCAGTTTTGGTTTCTCACTCTCAATCCTTTGCAGAAGAGCTCTTTCCTTGCTGGCAGGGTCCTTACAGCTTAAGAGGAAGTCCACACTGTGATTGTACAGGCAAATGCTTAAGTCCTTAAGACTGAAATGAGGCAGGGATGATATGAGGAGATACTGTCGCCGCTTCTCAGCCTGCCTGGCTCGCTCCTCCCTTTTCCACTTCTTAGTCTTTGTCATCTTACTACTCACTGTAGGGGCGTTTCTCTTCATCTGCTGGGAAAAGGAATTCCTCACAGAGCAAGCTGAGAAACAGGAGAGGGTAAAGAGTTAGAAGCAGGGTTAAATGGCAAAAAACAGCCAGTTCAAATCAGAGCATAAACAAAGCAAGATCAAAGTTAATGTCTACAGAATGAGATGATTTAGAATTCAAATTCACTTTAACACATTCTAAACATGCCAATATTAAATATCAAACACCTTGACATAAATGGTTTTGAAAAGGAAAACACACTTCTATTAATAAAAGGTGGTATAAACCATAATATAGCATTGGTATTCCTTGTATTTGTAAAGCCCTTTCCCAACAATGTATATAATAGTCATAGTACGATAGTACAAATCATAAAAATGGTCTATAATGAGTTTTGAACAAAACCACTCAAATATAGATTTGCATCAATGTACTGAATCATGAATAGTTATCTGGAAGCAAATACCTGGACTGGTTACAGCGAGAAATGGCGTACCGTTCCCCTTCTCTCGGTTAAGCCGCAGATCAGTCTCTCTGAATTTATATTTCTGGCCTAATGGATCGCTCGGGCCTACCCACTCCGGAAGTCTCTCCAGTCTATGCTTGAAGAATCCTTCTCCCCTCCTAAAAAAAAGTGATGTGTTTGAATGAGATATTGTCAGAACATGTTAAAATAGATATTACCTCAGAGACAACAGGTGTCAAAATAAAACATCTTAAAAGTGAATTTAAAAGCACACTCAAGAGGCTTAACTGGAATTGGATAGAATAAACTGACACAAATAGACAAATAAATTAATGACAAATTTTGATATGAATACAATGCGCCTGGCACAGACAGCTCTAATCCACACCCATTCGTGTCACCTTACCTCTCACAGGTGCAACATTCACACATCTCATTGTCCTCCCCAAAAAAGCTGTCGCCATAGTAACAAGTGATCTCCTCCCCAGGTGAGATGGGCCGGACCACTTTCACACATGCTCCGTTTTTGTCCCCAGGTACAAACTGGCACAGGAAACGAGGAGGGGCAAGAAGAAAGGATGTGCTGTTTATTTCACCTGACACTAATATTTTTTTAACACTTTAACTCCGATGGCTTAAGCGTAACTGGTGGGGTACAGAGAGGATCTGCCTTTGGAAAAGTCCAAATATAAGAGGAAAAAAATAACTGGATATCTTACCTTACAGTTTGGCCTGCAGTCTTCAACCGAGAAACAGAAAGTAAATACCAGTAAACACAAGCGAACAAGCCTCAGTGTGTATCACATTCATACTCTAACCAACCAGTCCACCAATAACTAGTTATGTGTTTACATTGCACATGCAGCGTTTATAGTGACAGAATGTGTACCATGTGTACATTACGTATGTGTCTAGCTCTCACCATGGTTAATGAAGGCAGCAGGCCCAAGCCAGAGTTGTGCGCACTGCTTACGCGTCGAGTACATAACACTGAAATCATTCACTCCTGTCCTCAGTACAGCACTGTCTGCCGGACTCAGCTCAGCTATGCAGCCCTGCAGCACCTCCACTCGCTCTCCAACAGACCTGAAACAATCCATAAATCACACATACTCATCAAAACGACTGAACAAAAAAATCTGTGAGCTACACTGTTCAGCTAATTGCCCTGTATTCATTTGGAATTTTTGGTTATTGGTTCTGATATTCTAATTGATAACACATTTACAATCACACATGCGCAACTTGTACACCCAGGCGTATTACATAACTATTAACATGTGTTCATTCACTGGACGTGACATGCACCACTGCATTGTCACCTGCATTATATTTAAATGATTTTACTACTTATTTTTGTACTGCAAATTATATTTTATGGTTGTTTTAGTATATTTTATTATATATCTTTAAATCAATTTATGCATCTGTATAATAGCGCAAGGCAATACTTTTGCTCTTGTTTTGCTCTTTATTTTAATTTATGCTGCTGTAATAAGACAACTTTCCCTCTGGGATTAAGAAAGTGATCGATTGATCTATCTATCTATCTATCTATCTATCTATATGTATATTCTTATCAGTAGAGGTGGGCGATATGTCAAAAAATTTCACATCACTTCAAGAAATTCACTCAATATATATGCATCATGATATTTGTTTTTTCTGAGGTTTTGATAAGTTGGAACAGACAAAAAAAAAAACACATTAATGCCACATTTAAAAGGTGCTATTAAATACTACAAATACAAAAAACTCAAATTTATTTAACACTTCACATTCCGCACTGCACTAAATCCAGCTAAACAGAGCTAATTATGCTCTCTTTTAAAAAAAATCATGTTGGTATGCATGCTTTAAGTACTGATGATATCCACAGTAAGCTCGGAAAAGCATATTGTGAGAATTTATAATGACACCAACAAATATCATCATACTGCCCACCTCTAGTTATCAGCACTTGGTCCATGTGTAATTCTCTGTTTTAGGCTATGATGACTTGTTAGTGTTTCCAACTCTATTTAAAATGTTTTGTTTTTTACAGTTCATTTTTTATTTAAATGCTGCAGTTTTGTCAATTTGTAAACAGTTTAAAACACGTATTAATGCCTTTTAAGATGGACATCCCAAAGACGCAAGAGAGAGATGTTCTATAACATTAGAGGAGACTGATTAATCTGACTGGACTTTTGCTTACCCAGACAGCAGCGTCGATATAGTTCAAGGTTCTTACATCTTTGTTTAGCGACACGTTTTCATGATAAGTTTAGCTGGTTTACCGAACAGCCAAGTTTATACTGCATTGCTAACTTATGACTCCAAGCTGTGGAACAACTTTAACAGGCAAACAAAGACTCAGAATAATTTTGATGTTTTATACTGAAGTCGTATGAACTGGCATCTATTTTCGTGTCTTTGAAATCTGCTAAACTGTTTAGCTGGTCTGCAGTCGCTTGTTTGTCTCAAGTGACTGAGGACACTGAGCTTTTTCACCTGAATGTCATTTATCAGTCAAAACTACAGGCAAAGAAATTAATGTTACTCTTTGTTTAAACAGTGTTTGCCATATTTTCCACCTTTCACTAACTTCTCTTGCTTCTATCGTTCAAAGCTAAGGCAGGACACTGGGGAAACTGTAACTGGGGAATGTGGCTGTATTCAGACTTCAGCTAACAATATGTGGATGATTTTTTTAATAGTCTAATATTACATCCAAGTGATGGCCATTTTTTAGTTTTGTGATTAAATGCTTTGTTTGAAGCAACAAACAAATATGTGAATACTTTAATTATTCAGGTGAACCCACATTTTTTTATCAAAAGATTCTGATTTGTGTTGAATTTAAATAAAAAAAAATTTTTAAAAAGGTTTTTTTTTCAGTTTTTCCACAGTTCAATAGGTTATGCTAGCAGAGAAAATACTATAATATGCAGGGCTGTTGTTGTTATTCCAGGAACAAAAACATATGTACTGTTCAGAAATGAATCACAAAAAAGTCAGGACACTGTCTGACACTGGAGTCTCACCAGTGTCTTGTTGCTGTGATTTTGGCTCCATTGGTCTCTGAGGAATACCGGTCACATGACTCAATCTGCACTCCACTGTCCAACAGGAAAGCAGTGAGGTACCGATACATCTAAAGGAGAAGATAACAATATTTTAAAAATAAAACACTAAACACAGCTATGTCATTATGAGTCCCTAATGACACAGTCATAATCACTTAAACACATAAGCTAAAAGAAACAGCACTGAGGTGCGCTGTATGTCTCAGTGCCAGATCATGCAGAATTCCCCTTGGGCGCAACAGAGACTGCGCGCTTCTTTTTGTCAGCAGTAAATCTCTAAAGACAGGCCAGACACAAGGCAGCAAGCAATCATCATTAAGTTGACGAACCAGTGACACAACCGCGGGTTAATGAGGAAACCTCAGTAGCTGAGGAAAGAGAAAGTGAGGTTTCACGCACGTGCTGTCTCAGGAGCTCCTGCCGGTGGGTTCCCAGGCTGGTGAAGTAGCCACTGGTCCACTCTCCATCTAGCAGAGCATCGAAGGTGGCCTGGAAGTCCTTGGTGCGCTTGAAGCGCAGCAGAGTCTCTCTCAGGTAGCCCCACCGTCGGATCTCTGGAAGAGGGCTGAGGAGGCACAAGCGACAAAGCTTTAATAATAGACTTTAACAACAATAATTACAGATTTTAATAGACATAAATAGCTGCTGCATGGCTAATGTTAGCTGGCTAATCGAGAGGATCATTTTGCTCTCTCTTGTCGGGCTGAAGCTGATGGTGCAGTCAGTGTTTTCAGGGACTGAACTGGTGGAAACCGAACCATCACTGGTTTGTGTTAATTTCAGTTCAGCATCAGAAGAAAAATCAGTTTTATTTCACTGAGTATATTAAACATATGATGAAAATGTCTTGGTGAGTGCACACACTAAGTATTTGGGGAACAACAAAAAATTATGACGTTAAAAAAATGAGTTATTAAATAATAAACAATAAATTATTTACTTGATAATAATAATTACATTATGTCATTTTGAAATTACTATGAACAGCTATATGATCAGCAAGATTTGGTCACTACTTTTCCCCCTTACTGCATTCTGGACATTCATTTTAGTGCAAGTTTATTCTCAATGCTATACAGTTTTGTCAGTTAATATGGGATTTTCTATGCTAATATAATACTAGCATAACATTAGAATCATTTCATACATGCATCTGCAAAAAAATCAGTTTAGATTATGATGGTGATCCACCACAATGAAAAATCCCTGCTGAAACCAAAATTCAAGACACAGCCGAAAACAGATTTTGCATTTCTGTAATGCATTTAGATTCTGAACAGACTCTTGAAAAAGAAATCTGAAATTATCTTTTGTGTCGCTTTTTTGTAGTCTGCATCATGAGAGGCTAATACAAACTCCACCGTATTCTTGCCAAATAATTTATTTGGAAGTGCGTTAATTTTATTATTAGAATTTTCTGGCAGTTTTAGTTAAAATTCCTGGAAGCTCTGGATGCTGCTGTGCCCCCACTTCCAGTGCCACTGCAGTGGAACTTCATTAAAGATTAATAAAACATTGAGTATCGCCTTATAATGACCATCTGAATAACAAAAAAAAAAAGAAGTGCACCTGATACTAGAAAAATTACTTTAGTATTACTTTATACTCCACAGGGCAAAAACAAAGCAGTACTGCATGTATCTATGGTTTAATAAAGTGAGATACTGGCAGTGACCCAGCTGCTCTAATGACACATACCTGTAGCTTCCAAACTGTGCTTTACCCAGGTTACCCTGCCGCGAAGCCCTCAGCACTACATGGTGCAGCAAGCACCACTTGACACACACCCTTCCATGTAATGATTATCATTAAGCTAACAAGCTGCAGTATTTACGGAGAGCAGGTCCAAGTTAGATGATCTGAATTCACTTAGCCTCCCTTTACAAAATATTACAGATTAAGAGTTTAATTCACTCAATTAAACCATCTGCGGTTTCTTTTTTTTTTCGGTTGAACAGACTTGGCATTAAACCTGCTGTAACTTAAAGGGATCCCCACTATTTTCCAAAATTTCTGCATAATTAAACAGATAAGATGTAAACAAAGGAATTCTGAGTAATTTAGTGCAAAATACTCTTTTTGCAATTGTTCACAGTGATGGTGATAGGAACCAGATGTCCACCTCTAACAGCTCCCTCACAGAAAGTTATTAAGTGGATGGATAGATGGATGGATAGATGGATGGATAGATAGACAGACAGATAAAATTCAGCCCAAAAACTGCAATGTGGTAGCTATACATATGCCATATATATATATAGATAGATAGATAGATAGATAGATAGATAGATATTACATAGCATATGTTTTGCTACTGTGACACTGTGACATTGCAGTTTCCTTTTGGGCTAAGTTTTATCTGTCTGTCTGTCTATTTATCTATCTATCCATCCATCCATCTATCCATATATATAAGTGTGTGTGTGTGTGTGTGTGTGTGTGTGTGTATGTATACACATGGTTACATGGTTATGAATACGCAGGGCATTATAATTTAAAATGGTCTCCAAAAAAGCCTTTTTATTCAGATTGTTCTTCACTATTTTACCATCTTCAACATGGCATATAAACTCAGAAGACTCGTGGAGGTTCACTGGTGGTTTTGGATGGTAAATAAAGTGTCTATGCTTGTGTTGTAGTCATGGCGACCCCTGGTTCCTATCACCACCACTGTGAAGAAATCTGAACCATTTCACACCAAACCACTCTGAATCACTCTGTTTACATCTCAATGGTGGAATTATACAGAAAGTTCCTAAAAAAGTGGTGCGATTCCTCTTTAAGAGTAATTCTGTTTGTCATGTAATTACTGAAATGTTATTTCACTGCTTTTTAATTTAACATGTGCTCAAAAGCTTATATATAAGTAGTGAGATGGGGTCATATACGCTGATGACGAGTGAATACACTACCTTATGTTCATCTTATGGGTGCTGAACCCCAGCAAGGGGTCCAGCACCAGGCTTGTGGCCAAATCATCCGTCTCGCACAGCTCTCTCACACTCATTCTACAGGATCCTTCCATGTTCGCCCACCATCCACATGCTGGAAGAGAATCCAGAAAGAGAATATATATCAGAAAAAGAATGTATATATGTGCTTGTGTGTGTGCACATATCCATATGTACATACATATCTCTCTCCCTCTCTCTATATGTTTTCAAAAATACTATCAAAAACTAAGAATACAATGATCTGAGGTCTGTTGTAGAGTCTATTGTATTGTCCAGCTTAATATTACTAGTTACCCCCTGACTAAGAGATCAGAATATCCTATTTAATAATTTAATGCTGGTAACATTTTCTGATCAGGAGATTTAGACGAGGCTAAAGTCAGCTTCCTGTTCCACCTTAAATGGTGCAGAATTTGGATTCTGGCGCCGCAGGCACTGTAATAATAACTGCTGCACCATTTAAGGTGGACCGGGAAAACTCAAGAAGCTGGCGAATAGGAAGCCGACTTCAGCTCCGTGTGATTTAAGCTGTCAAAATGCCCTGCCTACGTTTTTTATGTAGGGAGCTACCTGTATTTACGCCCTGAGGTCGGACATTTTGACAGGGCAGAACAATATGTCAGAACAAGGCCTCTGTAATATGATGTATACAGTGGAGCCTCGTTACACCAAACCCTCCCGACACACCACTGAAACACAAGCAGTGCTGTGATGCTGGATGTTACAGGGACTGTCATAAATACAAATGCAGAACTTTTTCTTTTGCTCAGATTTTATGCATACAGTGGTGTGTTTTTTACACTATGACAGTTTTGCTAAAATTACATATATCACCTTGCTTACAGTATCGCTATATGCTGAATCTAGTCCCTGTATCATGATGCATATCGTATCCAAGGTTCTTGCCAATACACAGCCCTCATGATTTTATTCAACATTTCACAGAAACGGATTAATTATTAGTGATGCACAATCATACTGAAATCACATCTGCATCAGCTTGATTAAAAATACCAGCATCAGACAGATCTGACTGATAGAGTCAATGTATTTACTGTACTCTATAAGACTGTTTAGGTGATGCTGAGCTACTGTGCTAAAATATCTGCATGTTTTTATTGCCTTTGCAACCCCCAGATACGTTACTGTACTGCTAATCCAGGTGGATTTAGTCCCAATTTTTAATATTTTATAAATGCTTATGTATTACTATCTGCAGACATTTGCCTATAATTTCAATATCAATGCATCCCTATTAATTATAGTCTCTTTGTAATGAAATATGCAGTTTGACAGTGATCTGATATCCACAATGTGCTTAAAAATAGTATTGTTGCTGTCAAAACAAAATGGTAAATTTTCAGGAGAAGGAAAAAACTTTTTCTTTCGGTCCATTTGTCAAGACATTTTAAGACAATGTTTAAAAAAGGAGACAATTATTATTATTATTATTATTATTATTATTATAAATGATTGCAGGGCTATTTTTAAAATATGAATAATAATAACAATAATAATAAATTATAAATGATTGCAGTACTATTTTTAAAATAATAATAATAATAATTATTATTATTATTATTATTATTATTATTATTATTATTTTGTAGCACTATTAATGCACATAATGCAGCCCACAGCACTTCAAAACAACAATAGTTATAAATAAATAATATTAGCAATCACTTGAACATAAGCGCAGCACGATTATGATGCAAGTGAGAATATTGTCATGTAACATAATAAAATGTAACACAACATATCACCACAATGCCCAGCCCTGAATCAAATACATTCAAGGAGCCTTAATCTCAATAAGACGTTACATCAGCCATGAACTCTATAGACAAGCTCTGCAGTGTGACGCCATAATAACTCAGTGACAGCTGAGTTCAGTGTTTGGACACACCTTCCTGCACAGATCAGCTCCAACCTTAACTCTGCTAGATCTGATCCACATTACACGTCCAAACGTGTGCAGACACCTGCACTTCCAAATGTTAGAACACCGCTGTGAGGATTTGACTGCATTCAGCCACAAGAGCATTAGTGAGGTCCAGTACTGATGTTGGGTGATTAGTTCTGGATCACTCCTGCTCAGGTACTGGATGGAGCTTCATCACTCCACTGCTCCACAGCCCAATACTTGGACTGTGGTCAATACTGCGACTGTGATTTAAATGCAATTGTTTTCTGTATATAAAGCTATTTTTTCCAATTTCTTTCACATCAATTTCTTCCGCCTTGAGGCCTGAACACTGAATCCATCACTCCAGACTAACACAAAATCTATCAGGTTACCAGGTGAAATATCTCCACTTCAAACAACCCTGAACTATGTGGGTTATAATAAAAAATTCAAACAACACTTGGCATCGGGCACGGTGACCTCACAGGCTGCTCCACAGCATCCCACTCTACTGCAAATGGTTTTCTTTGGAGATTATTTAAAATCAGCCATACATGCAGCTTTAGGTAAATTCCCTGATTAGAAGGGGGCCTGGATAGTTTTGTGCATGTTGTCATCAGCTGGATCAGGCGGGTTGGAACTGACCCTGCAGGAGTGGAGTGGAGTGGAGTGGAGGGGAGTGGAGGGGAGTGGAGTGGAGGGGAGGGAAGGGGTGGTGACCACTGATTTAGAAAAAGGCGCAAACCAAAAAATCAAAGATTAAAGTCAGATGACGTTCACAGAGCAGCAAATTTATGCATAACTCCACACATGCCATTTATTTAACGTCAACAAATTCCAGTCCAGTTAAGTTACCGTTATGTGACCCTGTTAGACGAGGGTGAAGTTGGCTACCTCTTCGAATTTTCCCCGTTCCACCTTAAATGGTGCAGCAGTTACATACTTTCGCTTCGGGCGCCAGAACGTAACTGCTGCACCATTTAAGGTGGAACGGGGAAATTCGGACAAGAAGCTGGCAAACAAGAAGCTGTCCGTATTAGTGCGATACACGAAACTAGCAGTGGCTTGTTGACTAAAAACAGCAATGATAAACAAAACAACACGGCGGCCTGCAGTCACACAGCCAGGCTGTTGTGTAATAAACTTATAATGCGTTTGCAGGATCACATTTGTGGTCATTTTTCCAGCGAGTGAACGGGAGGAGCTGCTGCTGCTGCTGCTGCTGCCGCTGCAGCGACAAGCCCAGCTGGCCTCGCTTCGCCAGCATAACGTTACAAAAACGTTTTTATTTATAAATCTGTGCAACTATCAGAAGTAGGACAAACCGCACGGTGCTCCACAGACACACACAGCGAGAAGCAAACGTGATTTAACAGTTACCTGACGGGCTTTCGTCCAAAACCTCAATCGGCTCGTCCGTAGTGAAATATTTGGTATCTTAGCTTAGCTTAGCTTAGCTTAGCTCTCCGACTAGCAATTGTTGTTATCGTCCGCCTCGGGAGCCCCCATATTCCACCTTATGGTCCTCTTTGGCAACGTCATGGCACTGTGTAGTCCCTAAACGAATAAAACGAGGCGATATAAGCTGCGCTAAACCTTCATAAAGGCTAAAATTATTTTGTATATTTCGAATTTTTTTTCAAAGCTGGAAGTTGGACTCTGAATGAGGGAGAGGCGAGCTCAACCAATCCCCGTCGTCCACGGCCGCGCGCTGATTGGTCGACTCGCGGAGTCGGCCGACTCCTATTGGGCCCGTGCGCGTTCATTTGATGCTCGACGGCTTTCGGCTGGTTAATGCCGTCCGCGGACTGGGACTCGCCCCGCCTCACTTTCTGGGGTTCAAGATGCTCTGAACCACAAGGACACTGCTAGTAAGGAGCGGCGTTCCTCATGCAGTGATGGGCTTTTACGCGTTCCTCAGAGCGGTGTTTCGCAAGCCTGGTCCTGGGGGCCCACTGTCCTGCACTCTCTTAGTGTTTTCCCCGCTCCCAACACACTTGATCCAGCTGATCTGCTTGTTAAAAGCCTATTACTGAGTGAAAGATGGTGTGTTGAAGCAGGAAAAGCAGTAAAACGTGCAGGGCAGTGGGGATCAGAAACAGTGGTCATCAAACTCTCAGATCTACCTTTCTGCAGAATCTAGTTCAGTGGTCTCCAGCTCTGGTCCTGGAGATCTTCCTTTCTGTGGCCTGTAGTTCAAACCACCATCTGCCACACCTGCTCCAGCTGATTAACTACTACAGTAGTCCTTGATTAGCTTGATCAGATGCATTAGTGTTTGATGCAGGTTGAAACTAAACTCTGCAGAAAAAAGGGCTGATGACCTCTGCCTTACAGATTGTGCACCATGCAGTCATGACCGCATCACATACTTGGAGATTTGTCAGCTGCACATTCTCCCAAAAACGCCCAACTGCTGGGTTTCTCAACCTCGAGCACCCTTTGGTGGTGCCTCAGGCCAATACTGAAGAGGACCAGCGGTTCATAGTGGGCCGGGGATGGCATTTTGTCATAAAAATCAGAGAAAAATAACTGACTTAACACTAAAAATACATTTTCAGTAGTACACAGTATTTAAAATATTACCCCTTGCCAATAGAAACAAAACACACACACCCTGAATTGTCAGTTGTTCACTTGAGACGACTGGTCAAAAAATGTGTGTAGAAAAAAATCCACTTCTGTTGATATTTTAAGTACACTGAGACATATTGCATATTTGGGGTTGCACTCAAAATTGATGTTGAAAATTTTCCAAAAATGAAATTTTATGCAAAAATAATTTGAAATTGTTTCCGTGTGGGTCTTCCTGCTGTATAGTGATGAATAGGTGGGCCTTAAGGTGGTTGAGAACCCATCTTACTGGACTCAGATCTGGTGACTGGGTAGGCCAATGAAGTACACTCAACTCATTGTCATGTCATGGAGCCAGTTTGATAGCTTGTGCTTCGCAGCGAGACACATTATCCTGCTGAAAGTGGCCATTAGAAGATGGTAAATGGTGGCCATAAAGGGACGCACCTGGTCAGCAACAGGACCCATATAGACTGTGGCATTTATACAACGCTCAACCAGTATTAAAGGGGAATTCCACCAGTTTTTCAAAATTTCTCTATAATTGAGTGGCTTGAGGTAAAACGGTTCATTTGCTTACATACAGACTTATGTTTCTTTACAGTGGTGGTGATAGGAACCATGCAAATGCAGCCATTTCACTTACTATCCAAAACCACCTGTGAAACTACGAGTTGTCTGAGTTTATGTGATGTCGATTATGGTAAATTAGTGGTCAATCAAGTTTTCCTTCAGGGACTATAATGCCTTAGAACACCCTTCATGTACCATGAATGGATTAAAATATGTTTTAGACCAAAATGTTATTGCATAACTACTGTCAGTGAATCAATATATCAGACATCAGGCAGCATAATCATAATCATATCATGCAATATCTTCCTGTGAGGGGACATTTAGACGTCTGGTTCCTATCACCACCACTATAAGCTTATCCAGAAGCAATTCTCACCAAAACACTAAATGATTTCGTTGACGTTAATCCTTTAATTATGCAGAAATTCTGGAAAATTTGTGGAGATCCCCTTTATGGGGGTCAAAATGTTCTAACAAAACATTCCCGCCAGCATTAAACCTCCACTACCAGCTCAAACTGCTCATACAAGCCAAGTTGGGCCATGGATTCACGCTGTTTACTCCACATCCCGACTCTACCATCTGGAGAAATGGAGACGTTTTTCAAAACCTCCAGCCGTCCAGTCTGGGTGAGCCTGTGTCCACTGTCGCCTCAGATTCCTATTCTTTTGAGACAGGAGCAGAACCCAACGTGGTCTCCTGCTGCCATAGCCCATCCGCCTCGAGGCTGGACGTGCTGTGCGTTCAGAGGTGCTTTTCTAATCACTACTATTGTAAAGAGCTGTTACTGAAGTTACTGCCTGAGACATCAGCATTTCTGAAATACCATATAGTTGTTTGCAAAAGTTTGTGCACCCCTGATCCAAATGCATGTTTTGTTGCTTTAATAATTAGAAATTATGCACAATAATTTGCAGAAAGTTGGCAGAGTTTGTTCCTTGTAGAGGATGTAACTTAATTTTCATTTAGAAAATCTACGCAATCAAACATAATTTGACCAGAGGTATTGCAATTTCCTCATTAAGAAGAGAGAGAAGGTGGGAGATCATTTGTAAATGATGAAACAGCACCGATATAGCAGTTTACTCTATGACTAGGCTGACCAGGTGCAGGTAATTGTTATGTATAATTACTGTATTATCATTATATTACAAATGACCTTGATTTTAGATAGAAAAAAAAGTATTTTATATGATATGATAGTAAAATAGGATGCATTCAGGTAAAGTGGGATGAATAAGTTTCATGCTCCATTGCTATTCTAGTGACAGGAGCCACACAAATGGGGTGCTCATCACTCTGCATTTGTTTTCTTTGGCCTTTCATTCTGTCCTTCTTACTGAAAAAACTTTAAAACACATAAAAAAACAAAAACAAGAAGTACAAATACACTATCTTTATTTTCTACCCGGTAACAGAAAGACAAATATCTGTGATAGTTTGGAGACAAAAAACAAAAACCAAATTACATAAAAAAAAACAAAACAAAAAAACAAACAAACACAGTATACTTCTTGCTTTTTAATTCACCCCGCTGAAAACAACTGGCTTGCTTTTTAAAATCTTACAGTTAAAATGATTATAGTTCACCCAGCATCAGTGCATGGAGGAAAAAAACATCCCTGATTGGTTGCTGAAGATAACAATATAATACATACATTATCTAAATCACCTCACTGCTGTCCATCAGGTAAAAACAACAGATCAGAAGAAATAATAATAATAATAATAATAATAATAATAATAATAAATCCTTTTCTATTAGTGATGCTGTAATTAAAATAGTAAGAAATGTGCACAGTCACAGGGAAGGAGATGACCAATGGACAGAGGGCCTTATATCTGATGGCCCAAAGAACTGACTGTAGTAACACTTAATTATTCGGTCCCATATATTTGGGTCTTAAAACTGCATTTAAAAACGAGACTGTGAGCAGGTCCACATTAACCCCCCCTCCTCAACAAAAGGAATTCCCTTCCAGTAATGCACCCCACTCTTCCAGGCAAGCGACCACAGCAGGTATAGGATGAACAGGGGAGGAACGGAAAAGAAAAAACAACTGGATTCAAGACTATTGCCTTTTGATTGAAATTGCCATCAGACTATTACTATTAAAAGCACCCCAACCAATACACATATGAATCATTGCTCTTGTATTAAAACCTCATCTCTCTGAAATGGTAACTTTACAGAAGGAAAAAAGATCTTTACTGTACATTTATGTAACCAGAAAAAAAGCCATTTCTGTTGGTTCACTTCTCATGAAACATTCACACAATGTAAAGGGCAGCTGGCGTTTTCAAATGGAGTATAAACAGAATTATATGGTTTTGATTTGACAGCATATATGTAGCTTACTGAGACCTGCAATGATCCCAGCACTTTTCTCCTAGCAGAAAACTAACCTAAGGGACACCCAACCAGCCAGCACTGATGACATAAGCTAGACGCCTTATTAAAAAAGTCCCATCTATCAGATCTGAACCATCTGAATTCCCCTTTAAGCCCTGTTCTTTATGCTGGCACCTTGTAGGCGTAGCTTGTGCTAGTTAAGAATAAGAAAAATGAGATGGCCCTACTTCAACCTGATAACTACTTCATTCACACACTGAAAGCAAACTGCCAGTGCTGTCCATTAAAAACTGATCTTTAGGCTTAATTATTATATAGCATCATTTATAGCTAAAAAGATTCAAATACACAACACTGTTTCGAACTGTGCAAACCATGAAGTAATGAATTTCTATCAGGGAAGAGGTATTTAGAAAAGTGCCAAACCACCACTGCACTGGTGCAGCACATCCCAGTGGCCAGCAGGGGGCAGTGTTACTGCAGGATTCGATGCTCAGTCAGTTCTGGTCCTTCAGCAGATGATGTAATGGAGAAACGGTGGAAAAGTGAAGTCGGCTGGGGTGAAATGCGCCATCTGGCGGAATCGGCGACAAGGCCGGCCAAAGGATTCCCAAATCCTTAAATAATTACAGCAGTAACTCCACTGTAATCCCAGTCAAACTTTAAATCCAGCCTGGCAACTCGCACGCACAACAAATGGATCGAAATAGAAGCGATGGTGGAAGGGAAAGGACAGTCAAGGAGGGAGAATAAGGGTCCAAGTTTGAAGCGTGATGTAAACCCAGGGACTGGATGGACTTGCTGGGTTAAACTGAAAGCGCCAGTGGGGAAATGGGTGGGGGTAAAGTTCAGAGGCTCAAAGAAAGCATTAATTAGGGGGGTGAATAGATGAGAACTGCCCTCATAAGAGAAGAGAGTGTATATAATTCCAGTCCATGTTCAACTTCAACCAGTAAAATCATCTCACTGTGAAGAGATATGTTCAGCCCCTTCATACACAACAGCACACTGGCTCTGAATTAACAAAGGGAGGAATATATAGCACTGGAGGCGGAGGAAGAGAAGGGATGAGCAGGGGTCGTAGGAGGGGTACACATGAAGCAGGATGTTTAAATAAACAGTTCTCTTTATTGATAAATTGACTTTCAAAAAACTAAAAAAAAAGAAACAAAATAAGCAAGAAAGTTTCAAAGCTTTTTTTCCTGTGATCCATCTACAAAATAAAAAGAAAAACAGTTTCAACATGATTGTTTCTGAAATCACTGGTTTTCTAAATGGAAAAACGATGCACCTGTGGCGAGCTCTTTCCCTCTTTACACCTTTAAACTGCACATCCGCCAACGCCGTCGGCCTGCACGTCTCGGCTTTTCTCCCGGTGAAAGGATGCGTGTTGCGTTGAGTTTGTTTACAGTTCACAATCAGACTACCTAAAAGAGGATGTGCAGCTGCGTGTTCAGCATTAAAAACAGCACAAGGCCAGGGCCTCAAAAGTGACCAACAGCCTCTCTCTGGACCCTTTGTATGCCTGTCTCTCTTCGGGCCGTTAGCATGGCTCTTTTGGACAGAAAGACAGGCCAGCGGGTAGGAGGAAAGGATGGGTAGAAGGAAATAAAACACACAGTATAACAAACCTCACAGTCCATTCACATTAATAACACGCATACGCACTCGCACTGCATTAAAGAGGAAAAAAAACAAAACAAAGAAATGTGGAACAAAAAGAGAAAGAGAGAAAGGACTTTAAACCCTGGGTACTGTTTTGCTTTGTTGCCTTTTGGTGACAGAGGGGAAAGAAGCAGGGAGGTAGAGAGTAGGGTAGGGATGGAGGGAAAGGGGGTTAAAGGAATAATCCAGCGCTTTTTTAAACTGATCTTTATCTGCTGCACACGGTTAAACACCACAGGAGAGGACAGAAAACCTGCTGACTCGAAATGTACTTAAAATAACAGCTATGGGTAGTCGCCTCTGTCCATTGGCATCTACTTTGCATGTTTCGAGTCTATAGGATTTCTGTTCTTTTCCAAGCAGGAAAAATAACTGTTCATAGCAATCGGCCGTATGCTACAGACGCTACAGATACAGATCACTTGAAAAAGCACTGGAGTATTCCTTTAAAAAGGGTGGGGTTAATGGGGGTGGTCCAGCGGGTGCTATTTCTTGGCTTTTCCACCCTTGGCTGAATTGCGCGGCGGAGTGACTGGACGCCCTGAGCCCATTCCGCCTCCTCCTCCATACGAATACAGCTTCTTATCGGCGGGCTTGAGGATCTAGCAGTGGGAGAGAACAGAGGGGAGGTTGAGTGAGGCTGCTTTTCTTTAGAGCTACCATATATAGACACACCCACCCACACACAGAGAGAGAGGTTCAGCACACACACAGAGCTTGGCTCTGCTGCACACATACATACACCTACAGTCGAAAGAGCAGCGGCACAGCATAGGCACAGAAAAATAGGTCAGGCCCATTATGTATAACAGGCATACATTACACAGCTGATAAAATGTGGAATGTGAGACAAGAAGAGTGGAGAAATGTGATCGTGTTTAGGGCTGCACGATCTGGAAAATATGAGTATTTCGATTATACTGCTACATATTGCAATTCGCTATGCATTAATAATAACACAAGACAATCAATATTGTGGCACGGTTAAAGGCAGGTCTGCATTACTTTGAGCAAAATAACAGAGGTAAGTAGGAGTATGTAAACAACATAGTATACCATATATGCATAGTAGCTACATGTACTGCATACTAACAAGCAGCTGACGAGCATCATCCCCTTGCGCTAGTGTATCATTTTTCCTTCATTATTTTTGTAAACATTAAAAAAAATGATCATACTCAGTTTTTCTGCATATATATCTAAGATATTGTTCTATGATAGTTTTAAGAAGATTTTGGCCAGAACACTTTAATACAGGGGTGTCCAATCTTGTCCGCAAAGGGCCAGTGAGGCTGCAGGATATCACTACAAACAAGCTGGAGCACACCTGATTCTACTTGTTTAATCAGTTGGTCTTAGTCTTCAAACATTTCATCAGGTGACCTCCTGCTTTGTTGGAGTGAAAAGCTGCAGCCACACTGGCCCTTTGCGGATAAGATTGGACTTACGCAAGACAGGTACATATAAATGTGTAAAACAGACCCCAAAGAAATTGATTTTCTTGGATTTATTACTATTTTACATCCACATATAACAACACACAAAAACACTTTTGGATAGTAAATAAAATGGCTGTGTTTGCACTGTAGATATCTCACCTGGAAGGAGCACATGAGCGTTTCGTCCACACTCATCATGGCTCCAGCGTTGTCGAACTCTCCACAGTAGTTTGGAGCAGAGAACAGGGTGACCAGCTGCCTCTTAGCAAAAAACTCATAGCCATCCTCGACCACCTGCAGGACAGGAAGAGCTTTCATCACCGGCACAGAGAGAACAGAGGAGTGGATGCTGCTCAGCAGAAAGTCTGTCACACAGTGGCCTGTGCTTTCAGATGCAGAGCGCTTTGTGGAGGACCATCAAAGCAGCTTAAAGAATTCTCAGGCTTGGAAAAACCTCAGCAGCACATGCTTTGGTCACAGCAGAGGCAGCACTGTGTGAAATCTTTGGAACAAAGCAGCAAAGAACAGTACAGTGTAGATGCTTCTGGCTTTTATGGATTTTGTTCTCATAGAAACTCAAGACTATCTTTACAAAATACACAGATAGATCCAGTTTATAGATCTCCAAGGGGAAAGTTGAGACAGAAGAAAAAAGGAACACAAAGTGTCAGTTTACTGACCTGATGTGCCCTGCATATGAGGTCCATGTCGTGCTTGTGAAGAAATTTGGCCACCACATCAGCACCGAAAGTGAAGGAGACTCCACGGTCATTCTCGCCCCAGCCCAGGACGTCCTTGTCTGGGTCGGCCCACAGCAGGTCACACAGCAGGCCCTGATCCGGCACATCTGTGGGCCGCATTACACGCCGCACCTGTTCCATGGACTGCAGGTCTGGAGAGAGGCCTGTCCAGAAGACACAACACGACATTCACTAGTGTTACACAATTAGAAACACTTATTAGTAAAGAATATGTTCTCACACAAAGACGGCTTCAATTCTCACTACATCAGGATGGATTAAACCTTAAAAAAATACTCCAGCAGCGTTTTTCTCTGCACTTGCAAAAGAAAAATACAGTTGACTCAAAATACACTTACAAAACAATCTAATGGCTTCTATTATAGCTGCATTCTAACAACAGTGAAATACGACCAATATTATTGCCCATAGCAACAGACTGTATGATACAAAGACACAGACAGGGATTAGGTTGGTGGGGGGGCTGGAGTACTGCTTTAAAAGTATACCAAGTGACCTCATTTCCTGTCCTCTACCTCATTTATTTCTTTATAGGGGAATTACAACCATTTCTCAAAATTAAAAAAAAAATTATACATATTTAAAGGTAAACAAAGTCATTCATCATAATTTAATATGAAATGCTCCACTAAGGAAACTTAGAGGCAGAACAGCTCACAGTGGTGGTGACAGGAACCAGGCGTCCACCTCTAAAATCTCCCTCACAGAAGTTGTTGCTGGAAATGGTTATGAATACACTGTGTGTATATATATATAGAGTGTGTGTGTGTGTGTGTGTGTTAACTCACATGTAGGTTTGCTGGTGGTTTTGGAAAATGACTATTTATGCTGTAGACATCGAGAACCCTGGTTCCTATTACCACCACTGTAAGGAGTCATTAGGTTTCTTTAGGTTTTGCACTTAACTATTTCATATCAAACCAGTCTGAATGACTGCTTACAACTCAGCAATTCAGCTGAATTGAAGGAATGGGTGGTTTAATCAATTTGTGTCAGATATAAGCGCCAGGTCACTAATAACCTGAGGTATCTATGAATTAATAGAAAAAAAAATTGTTGACAATATTCAGTGCTGGTTTTAAATCAATATAAGTGGAAATTGTACAAAAATACAAATTAATCACATCCTGTAAATCTGAAATCAAGCCTTTTCAGATTAATAAAAAAGCTATAGTTTTGTGCAAGTCTTGTTAGTTGTGTTTCTTCCTGTGAAGCAGTGGAGTTTTTTTTTATTTTTTTAAGAATTTGAGTATGACAGCATACTTTTAAAGGATCATCTTAAGAGAAGTGCTTCAATTAAACATTTAATTTTAATGAGTAACGGTTGTATAAGAAAAAACTATTAGATCAATATCAGAAAAGAAAAACTAGCACCGTGCCAGCTCTATTAAAAATACAGTATTGCACAGGTTAGTATTTTACTGGCTCTAATAGCCTTGATTCAATCACAGACTGGATCAGACAGTAAAGCGAGTTTAATCAGGTGGCAAGGGTCAGAAGTGGTTTTGTAAAATGCTGCTATATGGACTCCAGCATACTGAGCTTATGACCCAGACTATCCAAATACCCATCAGTGGAATGCTTATACACAACGGCATAAGCTAATAATCAAAAAAATTCACGAGGCCCGTTCTTAGACATTATAAAGATAAATCCTATCACTGAAGAGCATCGGTCTACCAGAATCATGTGCAGCAACCAATCAAATACAGCACAATATGAACACACACACACACACACACACACACACACACACACACACACACACACACAGAGACACAGACACACACACACACACACAGAAATAAAAGTTCATTTTATCACCAAGATGAGACAGATATTAAAATAAGCACAATGAGACAGAGAGCCGCCGTCTGCACCCACCTCCATGGCAACAGAAAATCTTCTCGTCTACGATGGCAGCCACAGGTAAGCAGTTGAAGCAGTCTGTGAAAGTCTTCCACAGCTTAATGTTATACCGTCTCTTACCTAAAAAGGCACACAACTCTCTGTGTTAGAATATCACTAAGCTATCCTGCAAAAACCATCCTGAAATCACATTTCACAATGTTTTCCTCATTAAATTCAGCCTGGAGTTACTCAGCCTTTCCGGCAGTGGAGCAAATCTGTGCCCTCACAGTAATTTGATTACCATACTTAATGGAAACGGTTTGGCAAATCAGTTTTATACTTTTATAATTTTCCGCTTAGCCTCTTAATAAAAGGGTCCATATCCGATATTTTCCTTTTATTTTTTCCACTTGTGTGGGTTTCAGACATAACTGATTTTGACATGAGCATTTTCAACCTCTCTGTATCCCGTGGCATTAAAACAGACATGTAAAATAGATATGTAAATTATGTATTTTTGACAGGCTGCACCAACCAGTTCTTCAACTTCAACATCAACACGTCGGGCTAAACTCCTGTATACTGAATAGGTGTATATGTAAACGTGTTGATTTTTCCTAACTTTACAACAGTAAATTAAAAACAATGTTTACACAGAACATCAAAATCTCATTTTGTAAAAGCTAAGAAAACACACACACTCACACTCACACTCACACACCTGTTGTCGGAAGAAAACCTCATCTTCCATATGATAATTTTACAGGAGAAGGAAAAAACCTACTTTAATGTAAGTCAATGGAACCAGACATTTTTCCAAGTAATTTTGGGGCGTTTCTTTTGATCCATTCACCATGAAATTTACAGACAACGTAAAAAACAACAGGCATTTTCAAACTGTGTCACAAACTGAAAAATATAGACACAAGGTTTTCTTCCGACAGCAGCGATATATTATGTATGAGTAGCATCTCTGATTAAACTAAGTGCTTACACTCATCGTAAAAGCCGTAGATGCGGTTGATGGAGGCGCATTCGTGGTTGCCACGGAGCAGGAAGAAGTTTTCTGGGTATTTGATCTTGTAGGCCAGCAGGAGGCAGATGGTCTCCAGAGACTGCTTCCCTCTGTCCACATAATCTCCCAGAAACAGGTAGTTGCTCTCGGGAGGGAAGCCTCCATACTCAAAGAGCCGCAGCAAGTCGTAGTACTGACCATGGACGTCACCTGTATGGAGGAGACAGAGATATGTTTAGGGCAGAGAACAGTCTCGAACCAGACAGGAGGGTAATGAGGACTGAACTGGGAGCTTCTGTTGCAGAGGACTCAAGCCTCAAACTAACACACCAGAGTTCATCCAGTCTGCAGTCACACAGTAAAGTTTCAACTGTTCGCAATATCAATTGACCTGTTCAGACTTGACCCACATACGCATTTTTCTGTAAGCAAAAGTTGCCAGGTGGGAATGTTTTACAGAACACTGGCTTAAGTCCCATTCAACCCAATGAGAACTGGTAGCCTACAAGTGAATGTCGAATTACAAACAAGCAAAGTGAATCAATAATTCAAGATTTGATGTGTGTGTGAGAAAGATCATTGCTGGGATAGGTCAGGCGTACGTTGTTCTTTACTGTGTGTGCGTAATTGAGTTAACATTTGAATGCTGACAAATTCATTGTTATTTCCAACCTGACTAGTTTCAATCAGCTACAACAACAGACCATCTTGGCAGAGTAGCGTTGTTAAATGCCTGTTAATGTGACTAAGGCTGTGTTTACACAGCAGGTAAAAGTGGCCTAAATCTGATTTCTTCTTCATGTGTGACACAGATGTGTGTCTGTGTGTCAGTGTGAACAGCAAAAAACACATCGAATCTGACATTTTCAATTCCGATTTGAGACGCTTTCATGTGTGGTACTGAAATCTGATACGTATTCGATATGCAGGGGGACTCGGTGTGAACAGTCAGATCGGAATTCATGCGACTTTTACATCAATCCAACTTGACATTCATCATAATTTCAGGCTACTGAGAGCTCAAACATTTAGGTTTCTGATGTTTCTGTACTAAAAAATTAAAAGGCACTCATCGCAACCGCTCCGTGTTCAAAGAGATTTAGAAAGAAATGGCTGAATTTGGCCGTAGGAGAACGAGGCTGCAGTGTCAAAGAACAGTTTGAAGTCTGAAAGCAAAGTTTAAAGAACCTGAGGACTCCGAACTTAACAGCGACCTCGGACACATTCTGGATGATGAGCCCAGGTGTCAGTCAGTGAAGCTTCATGATGGTTCCTGTGATGCTGGTGAAGATGAAGCTGATCTTCCAGGAGCGACTGGCGCTCGTTGGCATGATTTTTTACCCCTGGATGAGCCGCGTGACGCAACATGAAGCTTTGTTCTTTTGCGCATGTGGGTCAATTTAGGAGCTGATCTGTTCAGACTGATGTTGCATACAGATCACATTTCAAAAATACTGTGAACAGCCAAAAAAAGAATAATAATAATAATAAAAATAAAAAATAAATAAATAAAACAAATCGGATTTGGTAAGAAAATCAGATTTGGGCCACTTTTACCTGCTGAGTGAATGTAGCCTAAACTCCAACCAACAAATCTCATGAGGAGGATTTCTGCCTGTGTTATATAAAGTGCGTCCAACCCAGCAAAAGAAGCTATGAAAGAACAGTTTCATATTGTGGGTGGAGCATAAACTGGTCATTCTCCTTTTCACTCCCATTGATACTGTACTAGTTTATTTTAGTTGAACACACGTTTAGGAACAACTATGCAGGTAGTGGTGTTGTGAATGACGCTTCTGCAAAGTAACTGTGGGTATGAGAATGGCACCATACAAACTAAAAGAAAGAAAAATGCAAATGTACACAAAAACAAAAACACAGCTGTGTTTTTCCATTTGAACTTTTGACCCAATCTCCAGTTTATAAATGTTTATTATCTGCAGGTGACGTTACTAAAGCAACAGAGAGCGCCGGCTGAAGGGCCCATGCTATGCCTGGTTTATTAGTGTCCAGATAGCGGATCGGACCTGCTGTAAAAGCAATGTCTGTTTATTCTTCCCTGCCAGCGAAGGCTGCAGCTGTTCTGCACCATTTACTCAGACTGGCAGCTGAAGCGAGGCTGATAAAAACCAGGCTGTCAAAAAGCACTTGGTCTCCGAACGCACTCACCGCAAATCTTCAGCGGTGCCTCGAGCTCCAGCAGGATCGGCTGGCTGAGGAAGATTTCCCGAGACTTGAGACAGAGGCCGCGGATCTCGTTCTCTGTCAGTTGAACGTTCTTACCTGGCCGGGAGCCCTTAACTGCAGAGAGACAGACAGAGAGAGAGAGAGACAGGAGAGAGAGAGAGAGAGAATGAATATCAGTCAGTAAGACTGAAAGCACATTAAAAATGGACAGGCTTAAGGTGTTACAAATGATCAACAATTTCTCAAGACAAGTTTGGTCATCGCTATTGATCACTGGTAATCAAGCAATCAAATAACCATATTTTTTGCTAATCTACAGAAATTAAACAAAAATTAACTAAACATCAATCAAGTAACTGAGCAACCAGGGTTCTGGGGGTGGGGGGCGGCTGGCCAAACAAAACAAAACATTAGACTGAACTGAACATAAATATCACGCTGCACCTGCTTCCATAGATCCTAAAAGATAAATAAGGAAGTCTTTAAAACAGGCAGGGAAAAACCGCTGTCCTGCAGTGCCGGAGTCCAGCACAGTTTAGTGATTTTCCTTCCTTGTTTAACTCATCATTTAATTACCAGGTTAGGTAACCAGCCCTTCAGTTTGCCACTCCTGCTTTAAAGACTTCATAAGCAAAGAATGTGCCAAGGTACATAAATGGGGCGCCCATCAGGCTCTGCTTTTACTGTATAAAGAGAGCAGCAGAAGAATTTACAAATATTACCATCATGTCAGTACCATCATGTAAACTGTTAATTACTGCATATCCATTGAGAAGGTCAATCTGAATCTTTGTCTTAATCAAGTAACCAAGAAAAGCCCTAATTTGAAGAAATGGGACTCTGAGACGCTCTGAACAAATATAGGTACTGCAAGCCAATTTAGCTTTTAACCCTTTTTTTATTATTGATATCAGGAATTCAGCTTACACAGGTAAATTTAATTCTTACTAGTGAAAACAACTTTCACATGTAAAAATGTAATTCTTCATATCAAAAACAGAATTTTTACTAGTAAAAAATGTCATTTTTTATAAAGAATTTAATATTTTCTGGGAAAAAAATATTTATCAAAAATTGACTAGTAAGAACTAACTGGAAATTAAGTTTTCACAAGTGTAAACTGAATTCCTGATAAAGAAAAAAAATTAAAAGCTAAAACAGCTTGCAATATACATGGAGTCTGCATTCTGTTAGACACCAGCATAAATACCTTTCTACAAGTAAATAACTCATTCTCATGAGGAAAGACATATATTGTACTGTTGAAAAGGCAGTGCCTGGCAGTAATGCAGACTATTTGATTGTCTACAACAGACAGTGAACTCCTAATTTGCTCCATATAAATGTTACACTTCTCTGTAATGCTAAACCAGAAGGATTTTGTCCCAATTTCTAAATGTAATAAATGTATAGACATTGACAGATATTTGCAAATAAAATATATATTGGTATCAGCCCAAATCTCATATTGTTGCATCTCTAGAAACAAGTCTAAGAGAAATAAGGGGAAAAATGTATTAGCTCAAACAAGAGAGTGAGCATCTACCAGCCCACATCTCCCTGTCAGTTACAGAGACCCATCTGAATGCACACTTGTGCTGTCAGCTCCACGTCTCTGAACAGACCAGCTGCTGCTGCAACATGGAGACCACAGGAAATCAGCCCTCTAAACAACAACACCACAGACTGTTTAAAGGCCTGTTTGCTATTTTATACTAGAAAAAAGACTCCAGCTAAGAAGCTCAGCCTATGATACACATCTCTTGCGAAAGAGGTGCTTTGAAGGAACAGCTCAGCAAAAAATATTTACAGTTTCTCCCTTTACTCCAAACGTAGCTCATTTCAGTCATATTTGGTGTCTAAACTTGCATCTTTAGTTTTGCACAAGAGCTATGAGACTAATGTAGCTACTAAGTGATGGAAGGTTATGTACACCAATTAGCAATGAGCTAACCTCATGTCTAAATACCACACATACCTCAAACTGTGTAGAGCTGTTCAGGAATCTCTAACAGTCATCCTTACGTAGTTTCTGGCGTACTGTTGTCTATAAACACTGACAAAAAGTACATCACAGTGCTAAAGCTAGCAGCAACGGTGATCCTGAAGACAGAATTTGTCCATACTTTTGTAGTAAGTCATCTATAAACACATTAAACACTTAAAGTGGATTTCCTGTAAATTAACTACATGCAAAATATTGCAGTACTGCTAGCAAGTAACCTCAGAAAATGACCACCCATTCTGCCAAAAATGAATCAGTTCCAGTAGGGCTGACAACTCCTCCTAATTCAACCCTCAGGGGGATCCAAGTGCTGTACGTTCATTCAGAGCACTGCATTTTCACTGTATTCTGCTTCCACTGCAGGACCAACATGCTGATATAATATAAAATGCCATATAGGTTTCACAGAGCTGTGTCCTTCATGCGCTGCTGTTGTCATAAACAAGCACGTAAACAGAATGTGAATGCACAGTTCAGTCTGCATCTGTATGTCATGCACACACAGCCTGAGGGACGAGCAAACCGTTGTGAAACCAATGCAAGGTTCAAGTCTGCTGTTCCGGGATGGCCACAAAAAACACAAATTCACAGAACTCTGAAGGAAGGAAACGTTACATCAAAAACCTTTTTCAACTTTTATTTTTCTTTTTACATGTTACATTGGGTGAACATTGAGAGATCAAGAGACGGGTGTGGGTGTGGGTGTGTGTGGGTGTGTGTGTGTGTGTATATATATATACATAGAGAGAGAGAGAGAGAGAGAGAGAGAGAGAGTGCAAGTGTGAGAAAGAAATGAAGAAAGCATAAGTGGAAAAAAGTAGGAGAAAGAGAAAATGAAAGAGAGCAAGAAATAAAGAATTAAAGAAAGAAAGAAAAGAGCACAAGTAAAAGAGAAAGCATAATCGAGAGAGAGAGAGAGAAAAAGAGAAGGAAGAGAGCATAATTGAGAGAGAGAGAAAAGGAGACGGCAAGTGACAGCACAGGAAGAAAGACAAAAGAAAGGAGAACAATGAGAATAAAAGAGAGAGGAGAGATATAATACACGTTAAAGAGGTAAATAACAGAACTGCTGAACAGAAACCAGTTTTAACCAGTCAGGCAACCACATCCATTTCCACATAACTACATCATCATGTGACCCCAAATGACCAATAAACATTAAAACATGCACTCGCTGGATTACATTACATTCACCTGTATTTTAGCTGTTTGGGCCACCGCGCTCAATCTAATCCATATGACTTGCATAATGATATCAGGTCCTTATTTACGCCACACCTGTTTGTGACCTAAACTCCCCTTTTTCAAACACCTGTGGGGATTTCCACTTCTTCATATAAGTGGTCCTAGAATGGACACACTGGATCTGATCATAAATGATGATAAAATTGCATCTGAAACTTAAAGGGCCAAAAAATATCCGCAGCGGACAAAATTTATATTTATATTTTTCATTTAAATTTTTCACTCCAATAGTTCGTTAAACCTGACTGCTTTGCTGACAGATATGATTGCCAGTTGTCAGCTGTGAATTGTTAATTATGACTGACTCAAACAGGAGAAACTGTCTTTAATAGTATTAATACTGCAGCACTGGAGTGGAGCTACGGTTCTGTTAATTACGTCTTATTTATCATCAGTTTCCTTTCTAGAAAAAGGCTTTTTTGTGCAAGAACATTTTACTCCTGAACTAATAAGCAGAGTTTTTCATGGTGGATTTTTTAGTTGTGAAATTTACCAGATTAGCCTGTGCAGCTTCCATCTAGTGAAAGCTGCCAATTGTCAGCACATTATCTTAATAAAACAGCGTGATCATCTATTTCAGAAATTCTGCTGAATGTTTGCGCTAGTTTGTTCTCTTTTTTTTTGGTTTGTATTTGTTCATGATGTGCACGGAGGTCACTTCAAGGCAGAAGTTTGTTCGCACTAATGACAGATCTGAGATAAAAAAAATAAATAAATAATGAAACCACAACGCACTGTGAATGCAGCCTAACAGTACACAGAAATGCACTTTTTTGCAACTGCACAGCCCAGTACTGATCATAAAGCATGTCTTCTTTGAACTAAGATATTAAAAGGTGCTTTTAATATCAACCGATCCTGTTATGAGGGGAAGACAAAAATACAGACTATCCTCCTACAAGATTTTATGTTTCACTCATCTGTAATTGCAACAGAGAGGCCCTTCGATAAATGTGGCCAAAAAGTTCTTCAAGGCTTGTGTGTTCACAGACTTAAATTTAAAGCAGAGGAGCATGGGGTACAAACAGAGAAGGGGGGAGAACAGGGATAGACAATAACAACAAAAAACTGATAAAGGGCTCTTGGAATCACGGGATACGACCAAGAATAGTGAGCTATTTAACTCACAGTATCATGCATCCCCTATGGACAAAACGCAACCCCCCAAACCTGCTAGAGGCATCTACAGAACCGGGCAATTTTACTGATGCATTCCTTAAAGAAGCAAGCTTCAAACAACAAACAAGCACCGGAAGATCGGCTATATTTGATTATAGCATTGAAATATTTAGTCTGAGAATCTCACTGTTACCCCAAATGTAGCTGATTATCCAATATACGTTTAATGTCTGAAGTTAATGTAAACTTACCACACCACTTCACATCAAATGTCAAATAATCTTGAGCTTTTAAGTAATCTCAGACTTGCTTATGCAGTTTTTGACACTGTATAACATGCTGTTACCTATAACCATGGACAAGTATGCATCTTGAAGTCTGAATCTTTTCGGTGTCAGTTTCCTGATATGTTTAATTTGCAACGAGAAACTGTCAAACACAAAGTTAAGAAGCTGAAGTCGCTTCTCATTTGCCAGCTTCTTGTTCGAATTATCCCGTTACACCTTAAAATGGTGCAGCAGTTGCATTCTGGCACCTCAGGCACCATTTAAGGTGGAATGGGAAATTGAAGCTGGACAATGAGAAGCGAGTTCAGCCTCGTAAAAGGCTGAACATTGAGAGATATTTCGCAAGAAACTGTTCTACTTTTGAGTGAAAGTTTCCTGCCGAAGATGCTAGAAAAGCAGCTATAGCTGAGCTAAAGCTTAAAGCAAAGCAAAGTTTGTCTTTTCATTTATATTTTTTT